ATTTCTTTTCCGATTTGATATTTTTTTTTTGTACACCATTTGGTTGCAGATCTATAGATGCGTTTTCTGCATTTGATAGTCGGGCTCACAGAAATTTTATACTGCCTCACTGTTCTTTAATTAGTGCATACTCATCCTAAATTCAGTCACATAATATTTCAGTAAAAAACTATTAAATTAGCACCACTTTCACTCTTCCATGATTTGTGTTTTTTGTGTAAAGACTCGTCGGGTACACTGCATAGATTATCTGCTTAAATAAGCAGGTTAGAGATTGTGATAATATATAATGATATTCTCTGTATCTTTGCTTTTCAGAGGAGTACTCAAGGGCTCTTTGGCCAAAGAATTAGAGTTACTTTCTCCATCCTTAAGCAATGATTACCTCCCTTATGGCTCGCAAAATCGCAGTACCACGATTTAGTGAGTAATGATGGCGGCATTGATGGGAACTTGAGCTAGAGCTTGCCACAGCCACGCTGGCGGGAGATTCACCTGTAAAAACTTGCATTTGTGGTCACAGTAGTGGCCATGCTAACCTTCCTATGGTGTATAGAAATATACTGGTTGGATGAATCTTATTGTAGCCAGCTAGCCCAGTGGCTTACGCAATGGCCTAGAGCTTTACCACTAACTCGTCATGGTTTCACACCCCACCCGTTCCGTGGCTTGATTACCTCCCATTCTCAACAAGTCTTACAGTGTAAAGAAGTTCTTCCTGACATCATTATTGCTCATCTACTTATTACGTTTTGTCCTCCCCACTTATGTTCTGTCCTTCTCAGGTCACTGATGTTGTTTCCAGGTCACTGTTCAGGCTCAATTTCTACTTCCCAGGTCACTACTGAGGGCCAATATGTACTTCCCAGGTCCCTGCTGAGGGCTAATATGTACTTCCAAGGTCACGTCTGAGGGCCAGTATGTAGTTCCCAGGTCACTGCTGAGGGCCAGTATGTACTTCCCAGGTCACTGCTGAGTGCCAATATGTACTTCCCAGGTCACTTCTGAGGGCCAATATGTACTTCCCAGGTCACTTCTGAGGGCCAATATGTACTTCCCAGGTCACTTCTGAGGGCCAATATGTACTTCCCAGGTCACTGCTGAGGGCCAATATGTACTTCCCAGGTCACTGCTGAAGGCCAATATGTACTTCCCAGGTCACTGCTGAGGGCCAATATGCCCTTCACAGGTCACTGCTGAGGGCTAGTGTGTACCTTCCAGGTCACTGCTGAGGGCCAATATGTACTTCCCAGGTCATTGCCGAGGACCAGTACGTACTTACCAGGTCACTGCTGAGGGCTAGTATGTACTTTCCAGGTCACTGCTGAGGACCAATATGTACTTCCCAGGTCACTGTTCAGGTTCAATATGTACTTCCCAGGTCACTGCTCAGGTTCAATATGTACTTCCCAGGTCACTGTTCAGGTTCAATATGTACTTCCCAGGTCACTGTTCAGGTTCAATATGTACTTCCCAGGTCACTGCTCAGGTTCAATATGTACTTCCCAGGTCACTGTTCAGGTTCAATATGTACTTCCCAGGTCACTGCTCAGGTTCAATATGTACTGCCCAGGTCACTGCTCAGGTTCAATATGTACTTCCCAGGTCACTGTTCAGGTTCAATATGTACTTCCCAGGTCACTGTTCAGGTTCAATATGTACTTCCCAGGTCACTGCTCAGGTTCAATATGTACTTCCCAGGTCACTGCTCAGGTTCAATATGTACTTCCCAGGTCACTGTTCAGGTTCAATATGTACTTCCCAGGTCACTGTTCAGGTTCAATATGTACTTCCCAGGTCACTGCTCAGGTTCAATATGTACTTCCCAGGTCACTGTTCAGGTTCAATATGTACTTCCCAGGTCACTGCTCAGGTTCAATATGTACTTCCCAGGTCACTGTTCAGGTTCAATATGTACTTCCCAGGTCACTGTTCAGGTTCAATATGTACTTCCCAGGTCACTGTTCAGGTTCAATATGTACTTCCCAGGTCACTGTTCAGGTTCAATATGTATTTCCCAGGTCACTGTTCAGGTTCAATATGTACTTCCCAGGTCACTGTTCAGGTTCAATATGTACTTCCCAGGTCACTGTTCAGGTTCAATATGTACTTCCCAGGTCACTGTTCAGGTTCAATATGTACTTCTCAGGTCACTGTTCAGGTTTATTATGTACTTCCCAGGTCACTGTTCAGGTTCAATACGTACTTCCCAGGTCACTGCTCAGGTTCAATATGTACTTCCCAGGTCACTGTTCAGGTTCAATATGTACTTCCCAGGTCACTGTTCAGGTTCAATATGTACTTCCCAGGTCACTGTTCAGGTTCAATATGTACTTCCCAGGTCACTGTTCAGGTTCAATATGTACTTCCCACGTCACTGTTCAGGTTCAATATGTACTTCCCAGGTCACTGTTCAGGTTCAATATGTACTTCCCAGGTCACTGTTCAGGTTCAATATGTACTTCCCAGGTCACTGTTCAGGTTCAATATGTATTTCCCAGGTCACTGTTCAGGTTCAATATGTACTTCCCAGGTCACTGTTCAGGTTCAATATGTACTTCCCAGGTCACTGTTCAGGTTCAATATGTACTTCCCAGGTCACTGTTCAGGTTCAATATGTACTTCTCAGGTCACTGTTCAGGTTTATTATGTACTTCCCAGGTCACTGTTCAGGTTCAATACGTACTTCCCAGGTCACTGCTCAGGTTCAATATGTACTTCCCAGGTCACTGTTCAGGTTCAATATGTACTTCCCAGGTCACTGCTCAGGTTCAATATGTACTTCCCACGTCACTGCTCAGGTTCAATATGTACTTCCCAGGTCACTGTTCAGGTTCAATATGTACTTCCCAGGTCACTGCTCAGGTTCAATATGTACTTCCCAGGTCACTGTTCAGGTTCAATATGTACTTCCCACGTCACTGCTCAGGTTCAATATGTACTTCCCAGGTCACTGCTCAGGTTCAATATGTACTTCCCAGGTCACTGTTCAGGTTCAATACGTACTTCCCAGGTCACTGCTCAGGTTCAATATGTACTTCCCAGGTCACTGTTCAGGTTCAATATGTACTTTCCAGATCACTGTTCAGGTTCAATATGTACTTCCCAGGTCACTGTTCAGGTTTAATACGTACTTCCCAGGTCACTGTTCAGGTTCAATATGTACTTCCCAGGTCACTGTTCAGGTTCAATATGTACTTCCCAGGTCACTGCTAAGGTTTAGTTATACTTTTTTTATACAGAACAGATTTTGATCAAGTGTGCTATGTAAGCAGTTGATTTTTTAAGCATTTAGCCCACGAGCGGGGTTAAAATAACACGGGTTCGATCCCCGGCTAGCCGGGGATCGAACCCTTGTTATTTTAGCATCCACTTATTCGTGGATGCTTTACTATTAACGCTTAATAAAAACTCTCGTGGAGACAGGAAGGATATAGGAAATCACTGGTTTGGCAATAGAGTTGTAGATGAGTGGAACAAACTCCCGAGTACCGTCATGGAAGCTGAAACGTTGTGTAGTTTTAAAAATAGGTTGGATGAATACATGAGTGGGTGTGGGTGGGTGTGAGTTGGACCTGACTAGCTTGTGCTACTAGGTTGGATGCCTTGCTCCTCCCTTAAGTGACGTGTCTGACCTCACTAGGTCAAGGCATTGGCTTAAGCCGGTGGGAGAACTGGACCTGCCTCGCATAGGCCAGTAGGTCTGTTGCAGTGTTCCTTCTTTCTTATGTTCTTATATACTGTTTTGTTTAGACTAAAAGTGTCGACTGTGGTAGATCACAGAGGCTGTCAGCAGGTAAGACTATGGAACAAATATTCATCTCCTGGCTGAGGGACTGACTACCCCAAAACTAGATCTTCAAGGGACTGATAACATCGTCTTCACATCTCTTCTACCAACTTTTCTGTTCTCGACTGAAGAAGCCTGCTGTGTAGACGAAACGTTTCGGAATAAAGATACCTGATTGTTGCACTTGTGTCTAATCGAGATTAAAGTAGACTTCTGGTGTGCATACTCTGGTTATTATTAATTCCTGTTAAGTGTTAAACCCATGTGGGTTATGCAGCGCAAGACGTGGTGGAGACTCGATCCTTCGGTTGCTGAGAGAGACAGGTACGCTTCCTATTTCCTCTCACCTAGCTACATACCCTGAGAAACATGTTTCTCAATTAAGGTGACTAGATTCTCATTTCCATTGTGTAATTCTGTGAACATCAAAATGGTATACAATACCGACAGGTTGTTAGGTAAGACACATATGCAACAGTTAGACAACTTTATTCCGAAACGTTTCGGAAACGTTTCGGAATAAAGTTGTCTAACTGTTGCATGTGTAATTCTGTCATTTGTCACATCACAAGCTCACTTTATGGTAGAATTTTTATACGGATTTTCAATCATATCGATTTGTTTACATGTAACAGGAGTTTCCACTGATCTACATTAAACTGAATCTGTCGCTTTTCAGTCTATGACATTTGCCTGTCTAAATCTTGGAGTTCATTAGCACAAACAAAACATATTCCTATATTATTAATTTCAGAAAGCAATTAATATAGATTTTTAAAATACAGAAAGCACTAATCATCTTGTGACTCTTCTTAGGACATTTGTCTTTATGTGAGCGATTATTTCGTCTTGCTTGTATTATCGTCTTCTGTCTCGTCCATGACATTTTCTTTACCCATTGCAACAATTTGCCCTACAGTCCAAATTTAGAAGAAATTCTTAGTGTACTGATTTTTAAAACAATATGCAATTGGCTTGTCTTCCTCTTCGTCTTGATAGTGGCAATAATTTTCAGTTTTCTGGATCACTGTCTCCTCTTATGAGCATATCAGAGGTCATATCTTTACCATCTCCAGTGTTATTATCTCCAGTTCGCATTAGCACTGTGGCAAATGTTAACCAAGGCATCTGTAATGGTTAAGCAAGCGTTGTAAGTTCAGTTCTTTGTGGTCTCACGGTTCGCGACTAATACGGCAGGCGAAATCAAGGTCCCAGCAAAACAGTGAAAGTCTTGGCGAGACCGCACGCCAACGCCGCCTGGTTCCTCTATATAAAGGATCATTCGGCTTCGAATATCTTTAGTCAGTTCAGGACTCATTACGGGTAAGTGCTTGTGGTGAGACCTCTCGTGCAGGCAACAGCTTCCTGACTGCTGTTCCCCTGCAGTAGTGTGATCCTTCGTTCAGGCAGCAGCCTCATTCTACAGCAGTGCAAAGGTGTCCTGTTTAATATTACAAAAGAGCCTTCCTGTGGAAAAATGCGTGACTGATCATCCAATAGCCATTGATGATCTCAGTGATAACCAGTGATTCGTGACAGTTATTTAGCATTTTCACACACACAACACACACACACACACACACACACACAACACACACACAAAATATATATAATAATACTATATAACAATAAATATATACATATATATATATATATATATATATATATATATATATATATATATATATATATATATATATATATATATATATATATATTAGATAAATGACCTAATGCGCATTTTATTACTTTGAATCAAAAGTATTTAATAAACAAATACAGCTTAGCTAAGGAATTTAGCTTAATCTTATCTACACTATAATATTTGATATCTCTGAAATATGTTAATTTTGTCTCGACTAATTATCACATACATTTGCATATACTCTGGGCTTGCCTGGGTAAACGATCGTTGTTTTATAAGTAATCAACACAAACTGTAGCTGAAATCTGTAACTTGGTTACTGACCTTAGTGAAATCGTCTGCCTTACAAATGTAATATTGTGATTGGGCAGATTCACTATGTGTATGCTGAGAGCATTATACTCTTTATTTGTAATTCTGACGATATGTTCGGTATAATGTTCACTCCCAGAACCTTCACTTTGTAAGTGACTCCAATGAGAAATACGATGTCTAGGTTTTTTAAAACAAAATACGAAATAAAAAGAAAACAAATAATGAGAGATATCTGCATCTTATGGTTCCAGGACTGAGACTCTCCTGAAACCGATGAAAAAGTGTGTGGAAGGAAAAGATTATATGTTAGGTGGCATGACCTAGATGTGGGCTCAAAACAGAAGACATGACTCTCAAATGCTATGTCTACATCAGGTGTCCTTAGTCTCTGGGAGATAATGAAACTCAGGAATTATACATTCACAACAGACTCGATTACTTTCATATGTATCTACAGCTCACCTGATACAACAAGGATCCGCGTTATAACAGCGTGTGATGTAAGTTTTTCATGAGAGACAAGTAGTGCTCCTACCATGGGTCACTTGTCTCCAGTGATTTGTGTCGAGGATCCTACGTGTTTACTGATGTATGTGCAAGAAAGGTATAAAATACCGACAATATGAAAGTTAAGACACAAGTGCAACATCTGGAAATCTTTATTGTAGACGTTTCGCCATCCAGTGGCTTTATCAATACAGATTCTAGGACATAATAAGAAGATGTTGCAGTGTCAGACACTGCAACATCATGGAATCTTGGTTCAGAGGACATCTACAAGACCTTCTTCACGGCTGCTGCAACTAACCCATCTCTTTGGGAAGGACCTACTTCCACTGGGGAATCCCGCCTACCAGTGACTTTGTCCTCGTCTGCTGCCCGTTCCTATCCACTGACGCCTATATAACCGCCAGTCTTCTTGTCTTTGCTCCAGATTCTCCTCCACCACGATGCTGTGAACACTAACTCCAAGGCCGAGGGACTGATTACCTCATCTTTTTTTATATAGTTCTACTGTCTTCTTATTATGTCCTAGAATCTGTATTGATAAAGCCACTGGATGGCGAAACGTCTACAATAAAGATTTCCAGATGTTGCACTGATGTATAAAAGCTGAGAGTTTTGCTAATGATCTTGGAACTGCTGGTTGATTGAGCAGCTTCATAAGTGGTAAAGTTTGCTTCTGAGTCCGTTTGGATAATTAAACATCAATTTCGTTAGAGACTGAAAACCTTAATAATATCTTCACTCTGAGGCTAAAATGTATGGAGAGCAAATTGTAAACAAAGCAAAGTGACACATAAAGTAATTATCACCTTTACGAAGATGAGACACATCAGCATGTATGTGAGTGTGTATACTCAACTGTATATATCCGTGTGTATATGTGCACACACAGTGTGTTATGCACAAATGTGTGTTAGTGTAAATACCCAAGTGTGCATCAGACTGTATGTGTATGAATATGTATGCATCTAATGTATACTTATGAATTAAACTTATAACGGAATTAAATATGCTAATAAACAAATGAGATTAAATCACCTAAAATGTATCTGTGTGTATTTTGTACTTCAGATTTCAATTAATTATTAATTATAATGTTTCGTAAATACGACTTATACAAAGAGGAAATATTATTTTTTCGCAGGTGATCTTCTGCATTCTTAAAGCACCACCACCATGTGTGACGAGGAGGATCAGGTAGCCCTGGTTGTGGACAATGGCTCCGGCATGGTCAAGGCCGGCTTCGCCGGTGACGACGCTCCCCGAGCCGTCTTTCCCTCCATCGTCGGCCGCGCTCGTCACCAGGGTGTGATGGTCGGTATGGGTCAGAAGGACGCCTACGTCGGTGATGAGGCCCAGAGCAAGAGAGGTATCCTGACTCTCAAGTACCCCATTGAACACGGCATCATCACCAACTGGGACGACATGGAGAAGATCTGGTACCATACCTTCTACAATGAGCTTCGTATTGCCCCTGAGGAGTCCCCCACAATGTTGACTGAAGCTCCTCTCAACCCCAAGGCCAACCGTGAGAAGATGACACAGATCATGTTTGAGTCCTTCAACTTGCCAGCAACATACGTTACCATCCAGGCTGTGTTGTCCCTGTACGCCTCTGGTCGTACCACTGGTCTGGTGTGTGACTCTGGTGATGGTGTCTCTCACATGGTCCCCGTCTATGAAGGTTTCGCTCTTCCTCATGCCATCCTTCGTCTTGACCTCGCTGGTCGTGACCTGACCAACTACCTCATGAAGATCATGACTGAGCGTGGTTACTCCTTCACCACTACAGCTGAGCGTGAGATTGTCCGTGACATCAAGGAGAAGCTCTGCTACATCGCCCTCGACTTCGAGAATGAGATGAATGTTGCTGCAGCTTCCTCCTCCCTGGACAAGTCCTACGAACTTCCCGATGGTCAGGTCATCACCATTGGTAATGAGCGTTTCCGTGCCCCTGAGGCTCTCTTCCAGCCTTCCTTCCTGGGTATGGAATCTGTTGGTGTTCACGAGACCGTCCACAGCTCCATCATGAGGTGTGACATTGACATCAGGAAGGACCTGTTTGCCAACATTGTCATGTCTGGTGGTACCACCATGTACCCTGGTATTGCTGACCGCATGCAGAAGGAAATCACTGCTCTGGCTCCCTCTACCATCAAGATCAAGATCATTGCTCCTCCCGAGCGTAAGTACTCCGTCTGGATCGGTGGTTCCATCCTGGCCTCACTGTCCACCTTCCAGACCATGTGGATCACCAAGGAAGAGTACGACGAGTCCGGCCCCGGCATCGTCCACCGCAAGTGCTTCTAAATTCTATTTTGATATATTTCATATCAACATTGCTGTATTCCAGCCTTCAGGAAATTTATAATTTTGAAATATCATATAAGCAAATAAAGCTGTATTAAAAATTTTCTTACATTATCCTAAATTTCATCCTTATTCTCTTATCTCTTTCATTTACACTGAATAACTCAAATGGGTTTAGAGTTCTTAGTTCTGAATGTGTTTAAAATACAGCATTAGTGAGATGTTTTAGAAGCACATATCGTAAAAATACGCATTGTGATGGAGGGGTCTGTGTGGGGTTTGAGTAAGAGGCTGTGATGATCCTTCAGTAGCTCTGTTGTGACCAGGATAAGACCCCCAGTTTCTTGTTCATTGCAACACCCCTTGTCTTAGTGGTGTAGGGATAGCTTGGGCTCAGATTGGACAAAACTGATGAAAATTAGATAAACCCTGTAGTACAAGCATGAAACATACCCATAAACTGCAAAATAAAATCATATGCATCACTTAAGACATTTGCGAAGCGATGTTTTGCCCACATGGGGGCTTTACCAATCTAATACAGAGCATGTGAAAACCCAGAAACGCTGGACGATTTTTGTTCTCTGTGGACGACACTGGCAGGTTTAGCAACCCTGCCATACAGTGGTCAGCATCACAGCAGTAATGGTATACAATACCGATAAGCTGATGAATTAGACACATATGCAACACCTGGGTATCTATATTTTGAAGTCGTGTCGCCACCCAGTGACTTCATCCATTCAATTCACAACTTAGTAACCGGAGACAGTAGAAAGTGAGGTAATGAGTCTCTCATCCCTGAAAAGTAGTTCGCTACCTTGATGAATCTGAGATATAGACAGGAAGATGGGCGTTTGCATACTGGAGTCAGAGTAGGTGCTTCAGCAGCTGGAGTGGTAGATGAATGGTTCAGAGAACCGACATGTTGATAAATTAGACACATGTGCAACTCTTGGGTATCTTTATTGAGGAACGTTTCGCCACACTGTGGCTTCATCAGTCCAAACGTAGGAGAAACTTGGGTACGACCTACTTCCACATTGAACAAATGTGACACGACCTATGACTGCTGCACCTCTCCTGCCATACGGTTTATAAGCTGCTTCTCCGCTGATATGCCGTATTCTATTCAAGATTGATGGACTGAACACATCGACTCAAGGTTGAGGGACTGATTACCTCAATCTCCTCCTGTTCTTCAAGTTTCTCCTACGTTTGGACTGATGAAGCCACTGTGTGGCGAAACGTTTCCTCAATAAAGATACCCAAGAGTTGCACATGTGTCTAATTTATCAGCTGGAGTGGACATAGTGGATATTAATCAGGTGTTGTTAAGGGAGGTCAGATGACGGCGCATCTCTTATGATGAATATAAAAAAAAACAAGTTCGTGTTGTCTCTGACGGTGATTCCTGATATGCTGTATAACCTGAAGTTTATAGGGCAACCATATATTGAACTGAGAAGGCCCCCAGCGATCGAAACATGAGCAATATTATGTTTCGATACGATTCTCTATTCCACGTTCCCTGTAGTATTTGTCGACGAAAGTTAACGAGAATTGTGATGCATATTCAATGGTTTACGAAAATTGTATTTCGTGTATTGATAAACATATTAACCTGGAATTTCCTTTTCTATAATTAACATCAGAACTCAACAAAACATTTTAATCTTTCTAAAATTAACATAATTTAACATTGCTTAATTTTACCCAGGCTCTCGAGAGTCAGTTTATATTTAATATCCATTTAACTGATTTTTCTGTTACTGTATCAATATATTTAGGCTCAGTCAGGTAGTCAGATTTAAATAAATAAAATCATAACACTGTGGCTGGAACAATGAACAGATAACCCAGTCATAGGAGACTGAAATTCTTGACTTTTCGGTGCGGACCATTAACTAGTCACTAGTTAATGGCCCAAGTCGGACCGAAATGTAGTCAGAAGTTTCAGTCTCTTACGTAAGGGTTATTTGCGTATGGGCAAGTGCTATTTCCAACTGTCGTAAACACACACACATACAAGATTTAGCAAACCTCCGGTACACACCTGCAACGGCTCATCCCGCAACGATCTGCTACCGTGAATCTCGGTCATCAGATTCGTGAATCAGAGCTCACGTTTCGCTCGTAGGGAGCGAAAAGTGAGCTATGTGCTATGGGCGTCAAGCAATGAGTAAGCTGTGACTGCCAACCACTGAGGAATCTGTGGCTGTCTCTAAACGAAGGTTTGACTATCAGATTTCTGAAAGCAGGATGACACAACATGATCCGTCACAGCCCTTAAAAAGTAAAAAGATCCAAAACAAGAATATAAACAACCTAAACAACATGTAAACAAGAGCCAAACTTAAATTTAATGCAGATAGACAGGATTTGTTTGTTCTGTCTACTCGTGCAGTTGTTTATAGTTGCATAAGCGTAACTTAGTTACTGGTGTGTTTATGGGTATTCTTTCGTGTGACTACCTGGGTAAGCCTGTGGGTCATGAGGCTCACCTTTGGGCCACTTTTAATGTTGAATTAGGTAACCAAACATAGCCATACCTGGAGTATAGAGATAAATGGTATTGAATACCGGCATGTACAAAAATACTGATGAACACTGCATAAAAATTTCAAAACCGTGTCAAAAACATTGAATATAATGCTAATGTGGCTCTGGTGGCCTGGTGGCTAAATCTCTCGCTTCACACGGTGAGGGTCCGGGTTCGATTCCCAGCCAGGGTAGAAACATTGGGCGTGTTTCTTTACACTGGTTGTCTATGTTCACCTATCAGTAAATGGGTACCTGGGTGTTAGTGGACCGGTGTGGGTCGCATCCTGGGACAAAACTGACCTAATTTGCGGGAAATGCTCACCATAACAAGAGACTTTCTATATAGTAGTATGTCATTGGTGTCAACTATGGTCTGTATACCTTGTATATGTACTTGTAGTAAATAAAGATAAATTATTAATATTCTCTATTAAACTGCAGCCTGAAATATTACATTAAGTATATAAAAAGTTTTACTTCTGTTGTGCCTATCTCTTCCAAGTATTAATTCATGGCTGTTACTGGTGGCCGCACGCAGACTGATGTACGAACCATAGTCCGACTTTAGGTGCCTATCCAGTGCTTTCTTGAAGACAACCAGGGGTCTATTGGTAATCCCTGTAATATTTTTCCTGTGTGTGTGTGTGTGTGTGTGTGTGTGTGTGTGTGTGTGTGTGTGTGTGTGTGTGTGTGTGTGTGTGTGTGTGTGTGTGAAAAGACAGACAATCTCTTCTCAAGCATTACAATAATAAAGTATCTTAGATTAACAATACCTAAAAAAAGAGTTGAAAGAGGTTCTTTGTGCACAGTTCTGCTGCCATGGTGAACATATAAAGCCAGAAGGGTGCTGCAGAAAAATCTTGGCGCGCCTGCAAATACCGGCCCCCTTTTTTTGTATATATAAAGGGAGATTGGACCCCCAGACGCTCTAGTCAGACCACAGACTCACCGCAGGTAAGCTATAGTGGTGAGCTGGGCACTTCACCCCAGTTTTCGTTGTACTGCCTCTGGAGAGTGTGTTTTGCAGCGGTAACTACACAGAATTCAGATGGTCAAGTTCCGACGCAGACTGTGTCCTGTTTATCATTATCCACTTGTAATTACACAAAAATTTGTAATTCTGTAACTTAAGTGAAAACAAAGATTATAACTGAACTCTGGACGACGAATTGGTTAATCCTGGATCATTTACCAGTGATTTAAAAATAATAAATAATAACTGAGTCAGATTTAAGTTTGTGGGATTTTAGTAATATATCAATATCCGAATATGAGATGGTGTAGACTGATCATCGTTTAAAATTAAAATAATCTAATGTATAAGTAGATAACCACTGCGTATTATAAGAATTCTACTGAAAATTTTGACTTAGTCCAATAACTCGGATAAGCCTAAGAGAATAAACACCAAAAAGTGCATGCCTCTCGGCGAATACAGGGTGTTTCAAAAAGATGGACCTAATCTCTTTGAAACACACTGTATATAGACTGAGAGCTTACCTTAATTCCATTTTAAGGTCTTTAAGTATTCTTGACTAGTGATGAATAACTTAGGTGCAGCCTTAATGTTCCTCGTGTAGTAAATAGGTTTAAAACCCGTTACCCCTTCCCTGTTAATTTTTACAGAACTCATATTGGATGTAAGTAGTATAAACTACCGAAAAATTATTTAACGAAATTTAATTGGACTCTGTTTAGACTACGTATTGTTTGGAGCCCAAAGTTTTGTTATTCAGGTCAGTTATGTACGACGTCCATCCTGCTGTTGTGTTTATGTTAAACAGGACCTACTGTTGTGTTTATGTTAAACAGGACCTACTGTTGTGTTTATGTTAAAACAGGACCTACTGTTGTGTTTATGTTAAACAGAACCTACTGTTGTGTTTATGTTAAACAGGACCTACTGTTGTGTTTATGTTAAACAGGACCTACTGTTGTGTTTATGTTACACAGGACCTACTGTTGTGTTTTGTTAACAGGACCTACTGTTGTGTTTATGTTAAACAGGACCTACTGTTGTGTTTATGTTAATACTGGACCTACTGTTGTGTTTATGTTAAACAGGACCTACTGTTGTGTTTATGTTAAACAGGACCTACTGTTGTGTTTATGTTAAACAGGACCTACTTGTTGTGTTTTGTTTAAACAGGACCTACTGTTGTGTTTATGTTAAACAGGACCTACTGTTGTGTTTATGTTAACAGGACCTACTTGTTGTGTTTATGTTAAACAGGACCTACTGTTGTGTTTATGTTAAACAGGACCTACTGTTGTGCTTATGTTAAACAGGACCTACTTGTTGTGTTTATGTTAAACAGGACCTACTGTTGTGTTTATGTTAAACAGAACCTACTATTGAGTTTATGTTAAACAGGACCTACTTGTTGTGTTTATGTTAAACAGGACCTACTGTTGTGTTTATGCTAAACAGGACCTACTGTTGTGTTTATGTTAAACAGGACTTACTGTTGTGTTTATGTTAAACAGGACCTACTGTTGTGTTTATGTTAAACAGGACCTACTGTTGTGTTTATGTTAAACAGAACCTACTATTGAG